TTGCTATACGGTATGTGTGCTCACCAGAGAGACAGAGAGAGAGAGAGAGACAGAAAGCATCGTCCCCCTGGGCGGCAATGGCCACACCACAATCCCTCCTCTATTCTCCTCTTAGGATTTTGGGCATGCACACACATGTGCCCAGTGTGAGTTTTAAGCCACCAGGTCCAGGACTCAAACTGTGGTCAGCTACATGGGAATCTAGCAACATAATCATTATGCGGTCTGCTGGTCCCAGTATCTGTTCTTATCCACTTGCTGATTTAGGTTCTGGAAATGTGAGGACAAATGAAGCAGTTCACAGTTACAATGAAAGAGAGATAAGTATATAAACAATATTCACAAGATTTTAATGATGCTATCTGTCAAGAGCTATGGTAACCCACAGAGAGCTGTGACAGATTTCGCCTAATTTATTGAGTGAGGCTCTCCAAGGAAAGCAGATTTTCGGATGAGTAAATTCTCATCAGACATAGAAAAGCGATAAATGGTAAAGAGGGCATTATAGACTATTGTTTGGAAGCAGCATCTGCCTAGAGAAGGTTGGGTATGCTAATTTGAATAGATGATTCTAAACTAAAAGGTGTTTGGAAATGTGGAAGTACTTTTAGTTGTCACAATGACCAGAAATGTGAAGGGGATGATACTTTCTTTTAGAGAGTGAGGATCAAGAATGCTAAAACTTTCTGCAATACGTGAAGGAAAATAATTTCACACAAAATGCTAATAGCATACCTGTTGAGAAACACTTAAATAAAGGAGTAAAGGAAGGTAGAAAATAACTAAAAACTCATTTAGAAAAACAGAAAGAGCTATATTAAGGAGTTAGAACTTCATCTTCTATGTTATGAGAAGACATCAAAGATTTTGCTTCTTTTGTTAAGATGATGAGTTACAGTATATGATTTTTATTTTTGTTAGTTTATTATGAAATAGTATGGATAATGACTCTGAGTCAAAAGGAACTAGAACAAGGGAGGAACAGCAGAAGGCTCTTGAAAAGATGGAAAGAGCTTGCCAATAAGTGTGGGCAGTGAGTATAGAGAAAATCAGAGTTAAGGAATATTTTGGAGAGAAATGACAAGACTTTTCTGGGGGGCTGAGAAATAAAATGTATGCCTGAGTGGAGTTAGCATGTGGCATGATGGTTAAGGCTCTGGACTTACACATGGCCATCTGTGGTTTGAGACCCGGACCTGATGGCTTGAAAATCACACCAGACATGTGTGCATGCAATCCCCAAATCCCAGGAGGAAAATGTAGGAGAAAATATTGTGGTGTGGCTATCCCCACCAGGGGATAATTTCTCACTTTCCCTCTCACCATCTTTCTCTGGCAAGTGAACTCATCCTGTGACAAAAACCTAAAAAAAAAAAAAAAAGGAAAGAAAAAGAAAAGAAATTATGCCTGAGGCTTCTAGCTTATGTACTAGCTGGATGGCAGTGTCATTAACCAAAAGTGCAAATACATAAGCAGGGGCAGGCTGGTAATTTTGGGGTTAAAAGTATTCATTTTAGAACATGTTTTAAGGTTTTTTTTTTTAAATTTTTGAGAGGTTTTTGCTGTAGGACACGTGTGCTCGCCAGAGAGTCAGAGACAGAAAGCAAGAGATCACTCCCTCAGGGCAATGGCCATGCCACAATCCTTTCTCTTCCATTCTCCTCTTGGGATCTTGGGCACACAGGCACAAGTGCCCAGCGTGAGTTTAAGCTGCCGGGTCTGGGACTCGAACCGTGGTCAACTACATGGGAGTCCAGCAACACAGCAATGACACCAACTACTGATTCCATAAGTTTTAAGGTCTTGGCGAAATCCAGGTGGTGACCTTTCATAGTAGGCAATTGACAGAAATAGAAAACTTAGAGAGAAAGCTTGGGCTAGACAGATTTGGGTGTTCTCACAGTTCAAATTTGAAAGTATGTAGAGTGATAGGAAAGAGATTTTAATGCATAACTCAACATTTAAGAGGTTGGAGGGAGAAGAGAAGTCAGAATAAAGAGAAGGCAAAGGATGGGTCAAAGAAATAGAAAGAGACTCAGAAACAAAGTGCCAAGGAGTATAATAAAAAGAAGTGTCTTGGACAGCAGTGACCCTATGAGAAAATTTAAATGATAAGATTTTTCCAAGGTCACAGAACTCTTTCAGAATGTCTTCTACCTGTTCCCAACCCTTCAAGTAATCATTAATTCTCCACACCAGACCTTGACTTAAAACTTTTGGACAGTGTATACAATCACTCATTTGCACAGCATAGTAATTCAGTGAACACATATTTATCACAAACCTTGTATGTACTGGGATTGGAGCAGAGAAGTAAACATGATAGATATGATCTTTGCTCTCAGAGGATATCCTCACAAAACATGGATAAAATAATTTCAGATAGTGATACATGTCATGAAGTAAATAAAATTCAGTGATATTATAAAATAAATAAAGCATTGCTATAGAGAGTGTTTCCAAGGAAGGCCTCTTTGAGAATATGAGATAAATGATAAGACCTAAATAACAGAAAAGATATAAGAGCATAATAGTGAGGAAACAGTTATATGAAGATCTCTGAGCACAGCCTTCTAAGCAGAGGGACCAGCAAGAGCAAATGTCCTAAAGGAGGGACAAATATGGCTTGTTCAAAGGTCAGGAAGAAAGCCAGTATGGTTGGAGTGTAGTGAACTAAGGGAAGAAAGGCATGACATAAGGTTCATTTAGAGTCTTATAAACCACAGTCAAGAACTTGTATTTTGTTTTGAGAATGAATAAAATATGTAAAGCAAGAGAGCAATATGCTCTGGATTGTATTTGCTAAATAATATCTTTTATCTTGGATGGGTAATGTTTGAAGAAGGCAGAAGAAGCAGCAGACAGAACAGTTGTGGGTGACTGTAATTTTCCAGGTAAGAGGTAATGGTGACTTGAACAAGGAAAGGGGCAGTGGAAATAAAAAGTTAATTTTAAAGAGATGATAACATTTGCTTATGGAATTGATGTGGGGTATAAGGTAAGTAGAAGAGTTGGGAAGGAATAGATATGGAAAAGAAAGAGTAGAACATTTCATTCAAGGTGTCTATAAACCGATGATTGGGATTTAAAAAGAGAGATCCCAGTCTTTAACCATGTGATTTAAACGTAAAGTGCATTAGGCGTAGAGAAGCCAATAATGTAGAGGTGAATTTGGGTCTGATAGATAAGGAGGGCTTTCTAGAAGAGATGAAATATGCATGGGTCTTGGAGAATGAGTGGACTCTCATAAATATTTGGGAGTGGGGTGGGAAAGAGCAAATGTCCTAAAGGAGGGACAAATTTGGCTTGTTCAAAGGTCAGGAAGAAAGCCAGTATGGTTGGAGTGTAGTGAACTAAGGGAAGAAAGGCATGACATAAGGTTCATTTAGAGTCTTATAAACCACAGTCAAGAACTTGTATTTTGTTTTGAGAATGAATAAAATATGTAAAGCAAGAGAGCAATATGCTCTGGATTGTATTTGCTAAATAATATCTTTTATCTTGGATGGGTAATGTTTGAAGAAGGCAGAAGAAGCAGCAGACAGAACAGTTGTGGGTGACTGTAATTTTCCAGGTAAGAGGTAATGGTGACTTGAACAAGGAAAGGGGCAGTGGAAATAAAAAGTTAATTTTAAAGAGATGATAACATTTGCTTATGGAATTGATGTGGGGTATAAGGTAAGTAGAAGAGTTGGGAAGGAATAGATATGGAAAAGAAAGAGTAGAACATTTCATTCAAGGTGTCTATAAACCGATGATTGGGATTTAAAAAGAGAGATCCCAGTCTTTAACCATGTGATTTAAACGTAAAGTGCATTAGGCGTAGAGAAGCCAATAATGTAGAGGTGAATTTGGGTCTGATAGATAAGGAGGGCTTTCTAGAAGAGATGAAATATGCATGGGTCTTGGAGAATGAGTGGACTCTCATAAATATTTGGGAGTGGGGTGGGAAGATACATTCCCATAAGGGAATATCAACATGAGGGAAAATTCCAAGGTATGAATGAGATATATGAGAAGGTCAGTCAGAGATAAATTAAGCTGGAGTGATATATGAGTTTGGGACAATATATGGAGAGTGGGACTTCGTTAATTTGGGAAGGCTTTTAAAGCCAGGAAGAAGTATTTGTAGTGATGGGATAGGCTGTAGACAGTAAGGTCAGAAACAATGAGAGTAATGTTTTAAGAAAGTTAACTTCTTTTAATCAACGTTTTCTGAGGTTTCTATCCTTGACTTAGATTAAAACTTGGTGCATGAGAACAAGTCTAGGCAGCTCCACAACACAGATACTCAAAACCAATATTTGAATATTCCATTATAAAAATCTAGGGAAGGCCCTTCCCAAGCTCTTATATAAGCTTCCTAATAATAGTTTCCTTTTTAAAAATTTTATCTGTTTAAGCGCACCTTTATTTCTTTGGTACTTAGTAGGAAGGAAAGCAACTGGCCAATATATTCCTTGGAATAATAATATTACAGTTTTATTCACTTATTTATAGCCTCACTTATTGAACATGTACTATGTACTGTGTCAAGAACGAAACGCATTATTGTGTTTAATTCTAAGACAACCAAATGAAGTACGTAAAATGATCCTCATTTTACCAGGGAGGGAACGGAAACATACAGAGCTTTAGAAATTGTCACAAGGTTATATATAACTAATAAATAACAGGTAGGATTACCAAAACTGAGGGTTCTCCAGGGATATGAGATTTTCAGTGCTAAAACTATGAAAGCCCTGAGAAAACCAGGAAAGATTGATCATTCCAGTGGCAGAGTATAGTTTTAAACCTAGAGAGTGCAGATTTAGAGCTTTAGTTCTTAACTTCTGTGCTCATTACTCTCAATAAACTTGTAATAGTATTTTATCCATGTATAAAAGAGTCTTATTTGAGAAAATCTACTCTCTGCAATATGCCTTGAGAGAGGCAGGCAATCTCCTAGGCACTGCCCAGGGGTGTTCTGAGTCAAGGTTTGCTCTCTGATCCTCCCTTAGGGACATTTGAGATTTATTGCCAGGCTGGCAGCCATCGAGAAGCAGGGATGAGGGCAGTCTATAATGTCTCCCAGTGTCCTGGCGACCAGGCCACCCCTCATCAACGCTACCAAGCTGCAAGAATCTACTACATCATGGCAGAAGAAGTGGAGTGGGACTATTGCCCCGATAGGAGCTGGGAATTCGAATGGCACAACCGATCTGAGGACAGGTAAGTCTTTGGGAAAGGAAAGACAACATTTCCAAAGAATTATTTTACAGACAAGGATACTGTAACTCTCAAGGTGAAGATGCACTTATCTAATCTGATTCCAACAGACCTGGGAGTAGGGATGAGAATGCAGGTCTGTTGAATTCCAACCAAGTCCTTCTCTCTTGATAAACTATGAGGCTGAAGGAAAGACCTTGCCCACTTCATCCTCTTAATCTTTGCTGCCCTTCTTCTAGTGGGCTGAAAATACCTGTGCTGAGACTTAAATTTAATGGAAGATTGTATTCAAGGGCCTAATTGTCTCAAACTGTTCTTTGACAAAATGGCATTGCCTTCATTAAGACACAGACCAAGCAGTTTAGCCGAAAATGTCCAAAACAAAGGGTTTAAATAATATCAAAAAGATTTTTTTTTCTTCTGGAGAGGTTTTTGTCACAGGGAGCATGCACTCGCCAGACAGAGAGAGACAGAGAGATAGAAAGCAAGAAATCATCCCCCCAGGGGGAATGGCCATGCCGCAATCCTTTCTCCTCCATTCTCCTCTCGGGATCTTGGGCTCACACACACATGCACCCGATGTGAGTTTTAAGCCACCAGGTCCAGGACTCAAACCACGGTCGACTACATGGGAGTCCAGTGACATAGCCTTTATGCTAACTGCTGGTCCCCAAAATTTATTCTTTATCACTACTATTTTAACTTTATTTTTATACATAATAGTGAGCACATATACAGGAAAGAAAGAATGAGAGAGAAGAGAATAAAGTACCTCTGATAAGGTGTGGTCATGCCAAGATCACTTTCCTCTAGCCCTCCAGCTCATTAGGCTCTTGGGCACCCATATACATGCCCAACACATTAAGGCTTGACCAGACTGGGGAATCTAAGTTCATGGTTGGCCATGTAGCTTCTAGCACTGTAGTTCACACTATACAACAAACTGTACCACTTATGCCAGGCCTGTGCTGTTTTTAACAAGAGTCCAGGGTTTGTGGGTGAACTATATTGCCCTCAACAATTGCTTTTATTTCTGGGACCAAGATGCCTGTTCTAGTTGTAACCATTTTCAGTTTTCAAGAAGAGATAAAGAAATCTAGCTTTGCCTGTAAGAAGATGACCTGGAAGTTTTATACATCACTTTTCTATTATATCATTTCAACCTAAGCATGTTTTTATTGTCATATATAGCTACAAGGAAGTCTGGGAAATGTAATTTCTGGTTAGGCAGTTATGTTAAATCCTAAAGTAGGGGCCAGCCTGTGATGTGATGTTTAAGGAGCTGGACTCCCATGTGGCCAAACATAGTTCAAATACTGGACCAGTAATTTAAAACTCATGCCAGGCACGTGGGTGTCCATGCCCAAAATCCTGGGAGAAGAATGAAGGAGAAGGGATGTGGCATGATCATCCCCCCAGGGGATGATTTGTGGCTTTCTGTCTCTCTGGTGAGAGCACATACCCTGTAGCAAAAAAATCTCTAAAACAAACAAAAACCTAGGTGAAGCTGCTACTAAAAAGGAAGTAGGAAAAAACAGAAATGAAGTACATATTAATAATCTCCACTAGATTGTTTTTGGTACTCTCACTGCCCTTCACCAGTTTTTCTTTTCTTAACATCTACAAAGAAGGTAAACCCATATTTATTTACAAACACTGTTAAAACAATACATAAAATACGTTCAAGTGCTAACTATAATGCAAGCCCTTGCAATGCAATCCAAATTTATTAAACTACTGATGCTGTTAAACAAAATGTCACCACTTTAATTAAGGTCTTTAGTTTACATTTGGCCACCTCAAAGTAATTAGATTGGTCAATTTAAATACCGTGGCTCCCTGTTGAGTAGACACACATTCTTTAAACTCAAACATTAATACTTACAAAGCAACAAAGCATTACTAAGTAAAACAAAATTTATTATGCAGATTAGGCCATTACTTTCCACAGTACTGGTGTACTATTTAGCATCTTAACCAAACCAGTCACTAACAGGCAAAAATACTAAACCTGTATATTTGGTATTGCAATACACTTATGCATGAGCTAGCAGGGAATTCACAGTGAGAATATATAGCTGCAGAAGCCTGAAAATCATTTATAAAAATTATTAAATCATTAAAACATTATGGAAAATGTACACTTCTTATTGTATGCTCACATTGTATACACTACTATAAACATTGTTTCCTATGTAAACAAAAAAGAAAACGTATAATAAGAGATTTGAAAAGTATGGACATTTCTTTCTCAATAGAAATTAAAGACATCTTTAAAATATACTGAAAGAAAGATATTTTTAAGCCAAAATCACTGTAAACATGGACTTTTTAGACATTGAAAAAAACTATATGTTTGTGTTAAAGCACTTATTTTCTATAATAATTATAACAACCTTTAATTTTATCTTTAAAAATTACAACAAGCTACAAGTATCAAAGAAGTGAAGTTATCTGGAGTAGCCTTTATTAGAGCTCTTTGTGTTTTATTTGATTATGCCAAAATAATTGTGCTTTTAGGATTTATATTATTGTAATCTCTAAGTATGGAGTGTGCTAAAGCATATAGTACATCATTTTCATACATGTATAATATTGATGGATAAAGAATGTCTCTCAGCAGCAATATTGGATGTAGCTTCTGGTTTTACTAGCTGAACACTGTAAGACTATTATATAATTTAAAATCTCTTATGATACTGGAAAGTGATTAGAATGTAAAAATTGAAGTAGTAGCTTTCATCCTCCTTTTCAAAGGTACCACAACCATAAAGACCACTTAAGATATAGTAGGTTTAACAAAGTTGGAATACCAGCATTGTTGAATTGGCCAACAGTTATCTATACCTGGCTCAGAGCTACAGTACATTTAGTGTTTGAAAGCAGGTTACATGATGACTTTTTGCAGGCCTTTCCAGACACTGGAGTTTTTCTGTTAATTTGCCACACTAGGTCATAAAATGTTAATACTTACTAATATTTGTATTTGATTTTGCAGAAGATTCTAAGAGTACACAGTTGTTCCATTGTCTTGCTAAGTTTTGACCTTGTTCCATTCCTACAAGTCTTTCATTGTCCAAATCACACTTATTTATTTTTTATATTGTATTTTTTGTACTTATTATTTTAAATTTATTTTAAATATTTTTTCCTGAATTTAGAAGATAATTATATATTTAACTAATTAAAATTTTAAATATTTTATTCTCAAAAGCATTACTCTAAAATGAATTAGTGATAATAAAAAATTCAACTGAAATGCTAGTAGCTCTATAAAAATGAACATAAAATAAATATAAGCAACTCAAATTGGTGATCAAATATATGAATAGTTATTCAACCTCAGGATAGGTTTTTATTTAGTTAATTATTTCTTTTTCTTTTTTTACATTTTTAAATTTGTATTTAATCATTGTACATTTTTACAGTGTACAAAATGGTTTTTCCCAGCATGAATGCAGTCTATATCAATCAAGTCAAAGATATTACCATAAACATTATTATCAGCAGATAACTTGCCATTCTTGTGTCTGCTAAATATATTTTCCCTGATCTCCTCCTTCCTAGACCCTATTACCTGCCCCCTCCTACACTGTCTCTAGTATCTACAGTTTGCCCTCCCTTATCAACCAGAACCATTAGAACATCATCGGTGTCTTTAACTCGAAGAATCTGTTCTTCCAGTTCTTGTAAATCATTAAATGTATACTATGTTGTGATAGAATAAACTAATGCAAAGCCTTGTCCATTTTTCATGTACAAATCCTTCATTGCTGTAAATTGTTCCATTGCTGTTGAAATACAAGATTTCAAGCAGATGCTATTGTGCATCTACTTCAACTGGCTTTCTGTAAAAATCTTCTATCATAGGATAATATTTTGCAACAAAAAATCCTTGAACAAACTATACAGTCAGAGCAGACATTTCAATGCCTCCTGAGCCAAGAACAACCAACCACCTTATATACTTGTATGATGTACATGATGCAATCTTATCACAACCTAGTACTTTTAAAAATTTTATTTATTCATTATCATTATTCTTTTTTTCAATTTTGACCAAAGAGAGACAGACAGAGACAGGGAGAGAGAGCAAGCTGCCAGGTCTGGAACTCAAACCACGGTTGGGCATGTGAGAGTCCAACCCCTTTAACCACCATGTCACCTGCTGGCCGCACAACCTAGTATTTCACACTGTCACTAAATCCCCACGACCATGCACTCCCTCTGGGTTACTGCTCCCAGTGCCAGGATGGTCGGGTGGCCCAGCCACTGCTGCTGCCTTCACTGGTTTACTTACCTATGGGCAAGAATTTGTCAGTTCTTGCTATGTTAATTGTTGATAGCTGAAATTTTTTGCTAACTTTCTCTGGAAAATCAGAAAAGTAATCTCCTTTCTTTGCATCATGGTTTATTCATTTTTAAAGTTATAGTATAGTTGGAAGGACAGGATTAGGGAAGTAGGGGAAAGTATCAGACTTGAATTTAAATCTTGCCTTCCTTTCTTCCTGACTATTATTATCATTTCTGGGACATTGACTGTAGCTCCAAGACCTATTTACTTCACAGGCCTATTGGGAACGTCAGATGATAAAATTAATAATAAATGTTCCTGAAAACTTAAAAACATAAGGAGAAATCTGTCAGATTCTATTTCTTCCTTAGCTCTCTCCATATCATCAGCAATAGCATTGGCATAATAATCATTAGCAGCTAATACTTTTCTGCCACCTTGTACCTTACCTTTTTGTCAAACTAATTCCATTTAAGAGAACATTAAGGAACTAGAGCCCAGGGATTTTTATTCTTAGCCCATTGCTCTTTCCATATTAATTGTTATATAAATTCCTATCTGGATGATGACAAATAAGGAACATAAATAGATTCCGAATCCTGTCATCTTTAATTGTCCTTCTGCAGCCAGTATGGTGGGCAATCTGTTATTAGAAGATATAGTCTCATTCTTTATACCTGTGATATGGAAATAGTTCTGACTTAGCTTCTCTGTATGTGAAAATAAGAGATTGAAGGCCTGGTACTGATATAATTTTTTTGGTTTCCTCTAGTTATAGTCACATTTTCCTGAGCAACAAAAATGGCCTCCTAGGTTCCAGATATAAAAAAGCTATATTCAGGGAATACACTGATGGTACATTCAGGATCCCTCGGCCAAGAACTGGACCAGAGGAGCATTTAGGAATCTTAGGTAAGGAAATTTCACTTCCCTCCTAGTGTCTAGAAATCTGAACTGCTCCTGAAGTAGCCATGTCATATCAAGAATTCTTCTAATTCCCTATTCTCAATTTTCCTTATGATATACTGGAATTTTGATCATTTTTACAAATGCTTTTACAATGTATCAAAAAGTAGGAAATAGTGATACAGGAAACTAGCATTACACTTGCATCTCAGTTTGGTTATTGCTATAATTTCTGTCACTTTTGTAGGGGCTACTGGGTTTTCTCATTCTTGTCCTAGAACAGAAGGGACCCACTGGTTCCTAAAGAAATCCCAGCTCTTCAGTATTCTGTGCCAAACACTCACTCCTTACCGTCAGTGATTACAGAGAGCCCTGCTGCTCTAGAGCCTTGGGCTATTATAGAGGGTTGGGTTAGGAAAAGTGGAGATACTGGAGGCATAATCCTGTTGTTGAATTACCTTCATCTTGTGAGTAGAGTATCAGTTTTAAGGCCATATGAATCTAAAAATAAAGCCAGGCATTGATTTCAGTCTCAGAAGAATCCTTTCCCAGGACAAGTCCCTAATTGAATAAAGCTCCCATATATGTTCTTTTTAAAAATGTATTCTATTATACTCCTCCACTGATGAAACTTTTACTTCTTTTTTATCTATTAGGCCCATTTATCAAAGGAGAGGTGGGTGATATCCTGACTGTGGTGTTCAAGAATAATGCCAGCCGCCCCTATTCCATGCATGCACATGGAGTGCTTGAATCTACTACTGGCTGGCCACTGGCTGCTGAGCCTGGTAAGTGATGATTCTTAGTGAATGAAAGGACAAAAGACATGCAACACCTCTACTTCAGTCTTTAGGCTTGATCCTTTGGAAAATTATGTGTTTAGAGGTCTGAAACAAGAATATTAGCTAAGAATAAATTACAACCTTAATCTTTATGAAAAACTCATTTTCTTAATCTCAGAGTAGCCTGTGACTTAGTCTTGACTAAGACTACCTCAGGACTGTAAAAACTGTGGTATAAGCTCATAATCTTAGCTAAATGGTGACCTGGCCCAGACTGAAGACTGATTTCTAACTCTAGCAGTGGAAGATATTCTTGTCCACTTAGTATAGTCTATGTTCCAATCCCATTCACACACTAGGCTCCTAATACTAAATGTATGATGACCACCATCTTGACCACATTGTGTTTCATTAATTTGATTATTGAATAAAGACTTTTGGAGGACTATTGGATAATAGGAACAATTTTAGAAGCTATGGATACAGTGGCCAATAATACTTATTTCTACACTTTGAAAACTTGAGCTATTATGATAGATACAAATAAACTGATAGTAAATAATACAGTGTGATGAGTGTTAAATATTTTTTTACAGTGTGATACAGAAATGTAGAAGAAAGTACATAATCTAATATTTGAATGCTCAAAAATAGTTTCCAAAAGTAGGTGGTATCTCAACTGAATTATAAATTGGTCATTTTTGAACTTTAACATGTATCAAAATCACCTAGAAGGCTTGTTAAAATAGATTGCTTGGATAACCCCTCATCCCCAAATTTCTGATTCAGTAATTTTGTAATGGGACTCAAGTATTTTCTAGTTCAAACATGTTTCTAGATAATGGTCACATTGCTAGTTCAGGAGTTATAGTTTGAAAACCACCAAATTAAAAGATAAGAAAGAAGCACACTGGTAAAGGGTAGTGTGGAAGAGAAGTAGGAAAAAGGAAGTTACAGATGTAGGAAATGTGTATATGCCCTACAGTAGTAAGAGAGATAAAAGTTGGAGTATAAGCATATACCCCAAAAGCATATGAAACAAATGTTCAACAACCCTTATCATAAGGGAAATATAAATAAAAAACACAGTGAGATACCACTTAACCCCAGTCAGAATGGCTATGGTTAAAAAAATAAAGAATGGCTAGTACTGACAGGACTGCAGTGAAAAGAGAACCCTACAACACTGTTGATAGAAATGTAAATTACTACAGACACTGTATAAAACAATATGGAGATTCCTCAAAAGTCTATAAGTAAAACTACCATATAATCCAATAAGACTACTTCTGGGCAATTACCCAAAAGACATGAATAACTTCAGTCAGAAAGACACAAGCATTCATGTTTTTTGCAACATTATTTTCAATTTTTTAAAAATATATTTTATTGGGGTGGCATGGTGGTTGGGGGCACTGGACTCCCACATGGCCAACAGCGGTTCAAATCCTGGACCTGGTGACTTGCTTTCTCACTTTCTCTCCTCTCCCCCTCCCCCCAGTCAAATTAAAATAAGTAAAGTTAAATTAAATAATTCTAAATAAATAAAATATATTTTATTTTAATTTCTTTTATACTATACATCACGTAGCTTGTAAAGTGAATTTTCCAACTTGAATAGAATTCTCACCAGTCCAGTTAGGGATATAATAATCCATTTCTGTGTCCCATAAATGTCTTGCCTCTCTATTTTTTTTCCTTAATGTCTTTCCTCACACTCTCCTTCTCTCACCATCTTCCCACACTGTACTCAGTATCTATAACCACTTTTCATGTTTTTATATCTTCTAATCTTTCATTTTCAACCCTAGAGTACGGAGAGTCGGTATATATTAAGTAGACACATATACTGTCTCTTTTTCATAGCCTGCCTTGCTTCACTCAGCAGTAAATCTTCCATGTTCAATCACTTTTTATCAAAAGCCAAGGTCTTACTTTTTTTTTTCTAATAGGTGAGTAGTATTCTGTAGAGTATATGTGCCACACTTTTTCAATCCTTTCTTCTAGTTGTGGACATTTGGGTTGGTTCCATATCTTAGCAATTGTGAATACTGCTGTAATAACCATAAATGTGCAAGCGCTTTTCTAACTAAGCACTCTCATGTCCTTTGGGTACATACCCAGTAGTGGAATTGCTGTATCATTTGGTGATTCTGTTTGTAAATATTTGAGGAATTTCCATATTATTCTTCACAGTGGCTGGACCAATTTACAGTTCCACCAGCAGTGTAGGAGAGTTCCCCTTTCATTGTTGAGCATTTTTTTATATGACTTTGGCTGTTCATATGTCTTCCTTAGAGAGTTGCTTTTTCAGCTCATTTTCCCATCTTTTAATTAGTTGATCATTTTTTTTTCAGGTAAGCCACTTGAGTTCCCTGTTTATTCTGGTTATCAATTATGAAGCATAATTTACAAAAATATTCTCCCATTCTGAGGGTTGTGTATTTACACTAATTACTGTGTCTTTTGTTGAGCAGACAGTCTTAATCTGATGTAATCCCACTTGTCTATTTTTGGGATTACTGCCTGTGGTTTGGGGTCTTATTTAAGAAGACTTTGTCTACCTCAATGACTCCCAGAGGTACCTCAGTGTTTTTTAGCAGTAGTTTTTTTAGTTTGAGGTTTTAGGATTAGATCTTTGATCCACTTTCAGTTGATTTCTGTCAATGGTGAGAGGTAAGGGTTCAGATTCGTCTTTCTGCAGGTAGATACCCAGTTTGTTCAGTACCATTTGCTAAAGAGGTTTTCCTTTTCCCACTGGATTGACTGGTACCCTTTGTGAAAAATCAATTGGTTGTATGTTTTGGGGTTTATTTCTGGGGTCTCTACTCTGTTCCATTGGTCCATATGTCTGTTTTTGTCCCAGTATTGTGCTATTTTGACTATCACAGTTTTTTTTTTTTTAATATTTTAGTGTCAGGGAGTAAGACATCTCCTACTCCACTCTTCTTGCACAGGATTGCTTTGAAAATACAGGGTCTTTTATGATTCCAGACAAGTTCTATGATTGTCTTTTCTAGATCCGTGAAGAATATCTCTGCTACTTTGATTGGGATTGCAGTAAATATGTAGATTAATTTGGGTAGAATTGCCATTTTGATTATATTTAGTCTTCTATACCAGGAACATGTGATGTCCTTCCACTTTTTTGTGATATTTTCAGTTTCTTTTTAGCTTCTCGCAATTTTCCTTGTGGTGATCTTTACTTTGCTTTTTAGATTTATTCCTTGGTATCTTATACTTTTGTGTGGCAATGGTAAATGGAATTGCTTTCTTCAGTTCTATCTCAGTCTGCTTGCTGTTCATATACAGAAATTCTATAGATATTTTATGTTGATTTTATAACCTGCAGACTTACTCTATTCATGTATTACTTCCAGGAATTTTTACGTGGATGCCATTGGGTCTTCTATGTATACAATCATGTCATCTGCAAATAGAAATAGTTTCACCTCTTCTTTTCTTATTTGAATGGCTTTCATTTTATTCTCTTTTCTGATTGCATTGGCGAGGACTTCCAGTACTATATTGAAAAGGAGTGGAAAAAGTGGGAATCCTTGTCTTGTGCCAGTTTCTAGTGGAAAAGCTTTCAGCTTTTTCCCATTCAGAATGATGTTAGCTATGGGTTTCTCATATGTAGCTTTTATTGTGTTGAGGAATGACCCTTCTATGCCAATTTGTGTTGAGAGTCTTAATCATGAAGGGATGTTGTATTTTATCAAATTCTCTTTCTGCACCAGTCAATATGATCATATGATTTTTATCATTCTTTCTGTTAATATGATGTATTACATTTATGGTTTGAACCACCCTTGCATTCCTGGAATAGAACCTACCTGGTTGTGATGTACAATCTTTTTCATATGTTGTTGGCTATGATTGCTAGTATCTATATAATTTATAATTTCTAAGATATTGCATCTACCTAAATGCCTTTAGGACCAAAGATTGGATTGACAATTATGACATATATACACTATGGAATACTGTTCAACCATGAAAAGCAATCAGACATTGTCACTGATACAAAATAGATGAATATAGATTTAATGCTAAGCAAATCAACCAGACTATGAAAGACAGAAATTGTATGTCTCTGCTCAGTAATACCAAATGTCTACACTTTATAACTGAAAGATTGGAAGATGCAATAGGAGAGAGAGGAAGTGTAGATACCAGAGACTGTATAAGAGAGGATAGACAGTGTAGGGTAAGAGTAGGGGACTCAGGATAGAAAATAAAACATTTAATAAGCATAAGAATACAAAGTTATTTGTCGAAGGTCCCGTGTATGGTAATATCTTTGACTTGATTGACATGCAATGAACCTATGCTTTGAAAAGCCATTTTGCATGCTGTAAAGATATGCAATGATGAAATGTAAATTTAAAAAGTTAGAGTATAAGAAAATGGATAAGAGTATAAAAAGATTAGTGAGGTAAAATAAACAGGATTTGCTGATTAATGGGCTATTGAAGATAAAAAAAAGAGGATTCTTGAGTGACAGCCATGTTTTTGAAAGAAAAATTCTTGAATAATAGCTACACTTGTATTTGGGTTGGACAACCAGGTAAATAGTGATGCTACTCATCAAAATAAGGAATATTGGAGGGAGCTAACTCATGATGTGGGAGAATTGGATGATTAGCTCACTTTTGAATGAGAGACATCTGTAAGATGACCAAATGCAGGAATCTATTAAAAATAAGATCAGGAGAAAGTTATGCTCTGAAGCAGTAAATGTGAGAAACATCAACATTTAGGTAGTAATTGAAGGCATAGGAATGAACACAGTCACCACTGAAAAGTATAGTAAGTGGAATAGCAAGGGTCTTAAGATGAAACCCAGAGGGAGACCAATTTTTAATTGAGGTACCCACTGAAAAGTGAACATGAGAAAAAAATGAGCAAAATGATAGAAAGAAAATCAGGAGAAGATGATAGGGAACAGTTGTTGGTGTAATGGCTATGTCACTGGACTCTTATGTAGTTGACTGCAGTTCGAGTACCTGAC